AAAATAACTAAGCTCTTACTAGTATACGCTAATTACGGATATAACCTAGAAGTATTTAAGGTTACTTAATAAGGACTATAAGTAGAATAAGTAATACTATAAGTAGATTAACTATAAAAATTACATAAAGAAATATAATAAGAACTTTAATTTATTAAAAAATAAATATCTACTTACTATAATTAGAAAAGATTATAAGGACTAATCTTTTAAGAGGGAGATATAGTCTACCTTATATAACGAAATATTAAAATAAAACGACTAAGTAATAAATTAGATTTTAAGAAACTTAGACCGTTTAAGGTTAAGAAAACTATTTTAAAAGTTAACTATAAACTTTCGCTACTAATAATAATACGGATATACCTAATATTTTATATCTTGTTATTAGAACTAGCGCTATAAAACGCTAAACTATAGGAAAAAATCAAAGTTAATAATAATTAAGAATATAAAGTAGAATAAATACTAAATATAAAAAAATAAGGTTAGTAATAAGAATACTTTATTAAGTAAAAGGGATATAAACTAAAGGAAAATACCTAGGAACTACTTAAGCACTTAACCTACTATAGTTCTCTACTCTAATAGTTCTACTAAGTAAACCCTTATTCGGAAATATAAGGTTACTAAGAATAGCATCCTAGTCTAATATATCTAAGGCACTAAACGATTAAACCTTATTAATAGTAATAGTTTCCTTATTTAATAAATAAACTAATTTATCTTAAAAAGAACACGTTATACTATCTTCTTTATTAATAGCTTATATACCCCGCTAAAATAACTTACTACCTTAGTCCTTTAAGAACCGCTTTTATTTCTTAATTTAAGCTAAGCGAGCTATTGCATCCTCTAACGCTTCTTTTACTTTCCGTTCATTTAAATTAATCTTTTACTATTAATTTATAATATAACGAACTAAAAAAAGAAGGAATATTAGCGAAAAAGAATAATAAGGAAGGAAAGGGATAAAATAAATAAGCGGACGCTATATTATACCTATTATAAGAACGGCCTATAGAGGTATATTTAGAATACCGATTAAAACGCTCGCCGTCCTTATAAGTTAGGCCTAATAGAAAATAATAGGAGTAAGGTATAATTTTAATACTATAGATCTCGGTCTAGGATACTAGCTCCGATCGTTAACGCGATTTATTAGAATAATAAGAACGGGATTTTTAAATATAACTAGATATACTATTAGTAGTATATCCTAAAAGGATAAAGGAATAAGGAACAATATACTTATATATAACGCGATAAGGGTATATTTATATATAGCGGCTAAGGTAGTAAGTCTTAAGGGTAAGACTAAAAGAAAGGGAGGTATCCTATTACGACTACGGTCTAGCGAACCGCGGGGACTAGTATATATTATAAGGATACGTAATATAGGGAGCAAGGAATATTAAACAGACTAACGGGCTAATTAAGTTAAGAGCTATAGGTTACTTTAGCGCTCTAACGCTCTATGGCTAGATCGTAGGATCGCTCTAGCGCCCTAGTACTCCTAAGCGACGGGATTACCTAGTACTCTCGGCGATTAAGGGAAGCTCTCGAGATATATAAGGAAGGAACGGAATACTCCTTTAGATAGATAGCTCGATAGCTTTTAATATAGATCTTTATTACGATTCTATCTCTAATTCTAATTACCTAGCTATAGTCTATAGTCTACGACCTCCGACTTATTACTAACGTAATATACTTATTATTACTTAGACTACGCCTTATTATATCTGCTAATATAAACCCCTCGATAAATAACTTTATATGCTCTAAGAAAGAGGAAGTAAGGGAGAGGGAGGTAGATATATCTATTATAAAAGTTAGTATTATAGATTATAGACTCTTACTCTATAAGGTAAAGAACTTATTAATTAAAGTTATTATTATTAAGGCTATTATTATAGTTATAGCTATTACTATAAGTATACGTTAATAAAGCGGCCGATATAGCTAGGAATAAACTAACGCCTTAAGTAAAGCGGAACTTACTTATTACTACTACTACTATAGTTAAAGAAAGAAGAGAAAGAAAGGAAAAAGGAAGAAAGGGATACTACTTTATATACCCTTAGGTAGAGGAGGCTACCTAAGGCCGAGGGGATAGGTAACCTAAGGCTTACGTAGGTTTAGGCTAGCCGCTAGCTACTTAAGGGCGTATATAATAAGTTATGCTTTTATTTAAATAGCTAGCCGGCTAATAAGTATAAAGCTTAGTTCTAGCTACCTAAGCTAATAAGCATAAGGATAATAGGGCTATTAAGGCTAGTATAATTAATAGGAAAGGGTTAGGTAGAGCTAGTAGTATAAGCTTAATAGTATAAAAGCTATTAATTAAGTAACGCCGCGCCGCGCTTAAGGGAAGGCATTATATAAGAGTCTTTAACTATTATAGGTTATAGGCTTAAGCTACGGCCTAAGCTATATAGTTATATATAGAGGGCCGGATCCTATATATATATATATAGGCTAGCCGCGTATAAGAGAGCTCTATATAGCTTATTAATATTATTCTATAAATAGTACCTATATATATACCTTTACTTACTCTATAATAATAAGTAGCTCCTATAAAGCTAGCGTAATTAAGTTTTATAGCTATATAAGCTTTATACTATCTTCCTATACTATAGTTCCTACCGCTTATAAGAGCGTCTCTTTAAAGTTAAGGAGGAATTTACTAAAGGTCTGCCTATCCCTTTACCTAAGGGTTTATAGCCTATCCTAAGCCTTCTCCCGCTCCTATACGTTACCGAACGTATATATAAGGTATTAGAGGAAGTCCTATAGGTCGCGTTTACCCCTAGGGCTGCCCTTATCCTAAAATCTAAAGATCCGCCGTATCTAGGGCTTTAATAGCGTATAGAGGAGTAAATACTACGCTATATCTCGATAGCCGTTTAGGCCCTATTTCTTATTTATTATAAACTTTATTTATAGCTAGCTAAGGAAGAAGTAAAAGGACTTAGGCTTACCGTCCTAAGTTAGCTAAGGAAGTAGCTTCTATATTAATAGTACCGCCGCTATAACTAGTATTACGGAGGTCGTAGGGGTTAACGCTAGTCTCGTAGACGGCTCCCTTAGTATAGCGAGAACCCTATTCTTCTCGCTAGCTATCGCGCTTTTAATCGCTTTTAAGATAGCTACGATACTTCCTATCCGCCTAAGGGGTAGCGGGGTACTCCCTTAAGGAAGCGGCACCCTTTTTAAGGAGATATCTATTAAATCTATTAGTTAATAGCTTATATTATTATAAAGTAAGTAGAGGCGTATATATAGGTACCGTCTATAAGATAATATTAATAAGCTATATAAAGCTCTCCTTTATATAGCTAGCCTATATATATATATATAGGATCCGGCCCTCTATATATAACTATATAGCTTAGGCTATAGCCTAAGCTTATAACCTATAATAGTTAAAGACTCTTATACTAAAAGCCTATTATTTTCCTTATAGTATTTAATATCGACCGGTCTAGGGTAGCGGAGTAGCTAAACTAAGGGATACCTTATCCTAACCTTTAATAAAAGAGCGAGAGTTATATATACTATAAATAAATACTACTTCCTAAGAGTACTAGTAAATAGAGCTTATCTATAGCTATAATATAAACGCGCTTCTTAAAAGCTAAGCTACTTATAATCGACCGAAACTAACTAGCTATAATCTCTAGTCCTATAATAAGATAGGTATATATACCTATCTTAATCTCTTAGGCTAATTTATTAGTCTTATCTATCCTACCGTTAATAAATACGGATTTCGCTCTAGGAAGCCTTTAGGTCTTAATATACTACTCTTATTTAATCCGATCTAAAGGGGTAATAATAAGGCCGATACTACCCTAATAAAATAGTAGTACTACCTAAAATATAATGCTCTTACCGAAAGAGGTTTTTGCTATAAGGAGTAGATCTTCCTTTTTAAATACTAAATACTATATAGAATCTACTTACTTTAGACGAGGCTTAAATAGATAGAGGTAACGCCGTAAGCCTACCTAAATAATATTCTTCTATACTTTCTTAAACGCGTGTCTTACCTTATCGACTAAATCCTAGATAGCTAGTATATTCGCGGAGCTATTTATATCGTAGACGAGGTTTCTTATATCTTTTAAGGCGTTACGTCGCCGTTTTTAGATACTTACCTTATTTCGTAATATAGGAATTACCTACGATATAAGCCTAATAGTACGATAGACGTATAAATACTAGTTAAGTAAACTATTATATAATATTAATTAATATTCTACTACCCCTAGATAGCGTTATCTAAGGCTTCCCTAGCTTTTAAGGTAAGAAAAGGAGGGCAATAGCTATTTTAACGCGCTCCGGCTTATTATATATCGGGGTTTTCTATAGGACGAAAGGATAGAGGCACTAAAAAAGCTAGATAGAGAGATATAGGGTGCTTTTATATATAGCCTAGTAAGATTAAGGATAGATCTAATATACTTTAATATAATTATTAATAGATATAAGAAAATGCGATTTTACTAGTATCGCGAAAAACATATATAAATTATCGAATAGTTAGTATGCGTATATAATAGGGTCCTTAGGCCTTTTACTAGAGGAGTAGTCTAAGTAACGTGACTTTGTCCTGAAACGGTTAGACTCCTCTTGAAATGGCCTGAGCACTGCTAAGGTAATACCTCTGACAGTAGTGTTTCGTGGGCCACCTCTTCGTTACTGCCTGTCACGACAGAAAGGGGCTTCATTATTAATAACACCTCCACACCTCCACTGGGGGTTGCCCCTCGGTATTTTGTTTCGTGTAAGATGTGCCTCAACAGCACTAAATATATCTACAGCAATACGAGTTCTAGTTACGGAAATACGCAGAGAAATGCCGGGGCGGGGTTCGGCGCGGGTAGCCGCTGCCTTATAAATCAACCATAACCGTTTATCCACCATGTGTAGTGAGTTTTCACGGACAGTGCCAGGCAACACTGAATGCTGGATTGACATAAACCCATTCTTCACGTCTTGGCCCATATGGACGTGCTGATCCGAACTCTCGCCAATGCCACAAACCCGCACGCACCCAGGGCCATGGAGCCCGCGTAGATCATCGCGGGCCTGTACGCCCCCAGCCCATTATCCGAGCCGCCATAGGCATCCAGCAGGTATCCAGCAACCGGCGCTCCCTGGCATTCGAATACGGCCGTCAACTTTCGCGGGCCCCTTGAGAGTGCAAGCAGGGGCAGACATACCATCAGATAGCCTCCGGCCCAACCGGTGACAATCATGCCCATGGCCACGGACAGTCTTTGCGAGCCGAAGACGTTTCCTACCACAGTGGGCATCGTCGAGAAGAAACCGCCGTTAGCGGCGCCGCTGACAATGACAAAGATGGTGAGCGGTGCAAGGGCTGTCGACGCAGGCCAGATGAGCAGAAGGCTGACGGCGTTGACGAGGAGGCAGAGAAACAGGGTGTTCAGCGCTCCCAGCGTGTCGCACAACAGGCCGCATAGGATCCTTCCTACGGCCGACGAAAAGTTAAAGCCGGCTACAAGGCCAGCTCCTGTCGACGAGGAGAGTCCAACAGATCGGCTGTACAATGGCAAGAAGAAGGGCGGCACAAGCAGGGGAAAGGTGGCGACGGCCCCCGCGGCGAAGACAACGAGGAATCGTAAGTCCTTGAAGAGGCGCCTGCAGTCGTCAGCCGGGAATGACCCTCGAATACCCGTCTTGACCACGAACCAATCAACAAGGCCAGTCGGGCGGGCAGGCACCCGTTCTTTGATAAGCCACGCAGCTGGCAGGCCCGTCAACAAGGTCATGAGTCCCAAGATGCGGTACGTCCACGGAAGCCCTATGCGCTGGATGAGAGACTCGACGGCGAAGCTCGTGATGGCCCCTCCGAGACCGCCGCCAGCAAATACCACGCCGTTGGCCAAGCCCCGCTTGCGGCTAAAATACTGCGTGGGGATCGAGGACACGGTGATGAAGCAAAGGCTTATCCCTAGACCGAAGAGAAAGCCACTGGTGCAGAAGAGGCCAGCCACACTGTTGAAAGAGAAGCTGCTGAGGATCTCCGCAACGCCAAGAAAGGTCACGCCTACCATACCGGTGCGTCGTGCGCCAATGGCCCGCAGGAGGCGCGCGTTAGGAACGGCCAAGATGGACAGGAGCGCAATGGCTAGTGATCCAACATAGGCCAGCGTCGTAGACGACGAGATGCCCTGTTCGACGAGTGCATCTTGGATAACACCCCAACTATAACTCGTGCCAATAAACTGCCGAACGAGAGCTATTAGTTTTAGATCGAGAACTGCGCCCAAACTTGCCTTGATTGCTTGATGCTTGTTGACGGCGGCAACAAGGCTCGTTCTTCAGACGCGAGCGCTCGCGGCTCAACGCTCACTTACCCACCATGTGATGACAGCGCAGGCCGAAACAACAACCCAGCCATATCCTCCATCAGGCACTTCTTTGTCCGCGAGGCGGGAAGCTTCAAGGACTTCGTCGACTGCATCACTCGCGTTATGGCCACGTCGAACAGGTCCGCGTCGGGCAATATCGACGCCCGTAGTCTCGCGAAGCTCCACGTCGGCCGTCGGCATATTCAAACAAATGCCCTCTCGTGTAATGGAGAATTTCGCAGTGAAGAGGGAGAGGAACAGCACGGTGGCCATTCGAGTTAAGTACTCGTCCACGGTCCACTCTTTTTGACTTCGTTGAGGCTTACTGCGGTAGTCAATTGCGCCTTTTGGATCATAGCGCCCCACTGTCCCCATATGTTTGTACCGTAACTTATCAAGTCGACCTTAATAGAAGAGTCCGTCTCGAAACATCCAACCGGCCTAGCGGCAACTTGGCCCAGTTGTATCTGTTCCGTCTCTCAAAGCAACTCTAATCCGGGTCTTTCTTTCGTCGCTGCACGACATCGCCAGCTGGAATGGCCCTGCTCGCGCGGTTTTCGCCATAAGCTACATAGTCTACCTCATGGGAAGGCGAGAGCCACATAACAAGATAAGGCAGATATAGAAGTTTAGAAAGAAAATCAGGTACAAAAAGATTCCTATAATAAGGGTCTCTTCCAGGGATATACGAGCCTTAAAGGCCTCTCGGTCGTATAATAATGTAGGCGCGGGGAATATGCACGTATTAATTTGTAGTGTTAGTGCTGAGCTAGGGACGTTGGATGAAAGGCCGGTCCTCCTATGCCGGGTTCTCCTAGCAAATGTCTCGGATTAAGCTATGCAAGACTAGAGTCTCTCGTTGCGTCCGAGCCTCGTATAGCATTTTAAAGAATCTAGAGGAGGGCCGTATAGTTTTAGTAATGCTCTGCTATAGTTAAGTATTCGCTATAATCGCCTTTATCTAGAGGGAAGTCTATATCTACTATATCGTCGCCTTTAGACCGGCTAGACTAGAGCTTCGTATCTTTATAAGCATCCGTAGCTAATTTCTAAGGAGGGAGATATTTACGACACGGGATCTTAAGGCGGGGGCAGAAGGTAGCTATTAATATAAGAAGGAAGGATGTCGCCGTGGCTCTCTAGGTCACGTGCCTAGGCACGTGTCTAGCCGTACGATATCCGGCTTACGTGTCTCCTTTCCCCCCTTTAGCTAGCTATATAAGGGGCATTTCCCCCCTTTCCTTTAGCTAGTATTAATTAATTACCTTATCCCTCTTTTATTTATAGTAGTTATATAATTCCGCTATATGCCTATAATATTACCGTGCGTTTTAAGGAGGAAGTTTTCTTATAGTATAAATAAGGCTAAGTAAAGAACTAAGTTTCTATATAAAATATTAAAGCTAGCTTAAGGGCGAATAAGGTAGTAAGTATTATAAAGTAGGTAAAGGTATATATATAAGTACCGTCTATAGAATAATATTAATAAGCTATATAGAGCTCTTTTATATATAGCTAGCCTATATATATATATATAGGATCTAGCTCTTTATATATAACTATATAGCTTAGGCTATAGCTTAAGCCTATAACCTATAATAGTTTAAGACTCTTATATAATACCCTCCCTCTAGTACGGCGCGGCGCTACCTTATTAATAGCTTCTATATAATTAGGCCTTAAGCTCCCTATACTACTAGCTTTACCTTACCCTTTCCTATTAATTATACTAGCCTTACTAGCCCTATTATCCCCTTACTTATTAGCCTAGGTAGCTAGGACCTAGCTCTATACTTATTAGCTAGCTAGCTATTTAAATAAGGGTATAACTTATTATATATGCCCTTAAGCGGCCGGCGGCTAGCTTAGACCTACGTAAGCCTTAGGTTACCTATCCCCTTAGCCTTAGGTAGCCTCCTTTACTAAAGGGTATATAAAGTAGTATCCCTTTCTTCTTCCTTTCTTTCCTTCTCCCCCTTCTTTAACTATAGTAATAGCTATAATAAGTAAGTTCCGCTCTACCTAAGGTATTAATTTATTCTTAGCTATATAGGCCGCCCTATTAATAAGTACTTATAGTAATAGCTAGAGTAGTAATAATAGCCTTAATAATAATAATAACTTTAACTAATAAGTTCCTTACCTTATAGAGCGGGAGGCCGCGTTCTATTATACTAACTTCTATAATAAATATATCCGCCTCCGCCTCCCTTACCTCCTCCTTCTTAGAGCGTATAAAGTTATTTATTTATACTATACTAGCCGCGGCCGATAATAGCTCCGCCGCTACCGCCGCTCTTACCCGCGCCCTTACTACCGCGCTTACTACTACCGCTACTACTTTTATTACGCTAGCTACCCTTATATTACCTTTTAAAGTAATAATACTATCCCTACTATTACTTATAACGCTTAGCCCCTTAGCCCTTACCTTTATCTCTACTTCCCTTATAAGTCTATAGTTAAGTAAGTATAATAAACGTTTTCTATTAACCTTTTAAAAAAAAGGTATAAGTAATAAGTATAGGATCGGGTATTTAATAATATAAGTAGAAAGAGCAATCGAGGGAGTATAAGGTAGGATTTCGTCCGGAATTTATAATAAGTATATAAGGTGCTAAATAATATATTAAAAGAATAGCGTTATAAAGGATACTTACGAACTTACTTATTCTATCTACTACTCTTAAGGAAATCCTTTATCTTTTATAGACTATTACTTACTTACTAGTAGACTAATTAGTTAGCTTTCTAGTATATTCTATAATGCTTAAATAGCTCTATCTATAGTATATCTTCCGGACTTAGTAGGTAGTCTAATTATAGTTATCGCGAAGCATAGCTTAATTTTATAGTTCTCGGAGATATCCCTTAGTAAGATAGACTAAGGAAGCTAAAAATACCCGGTATAGAAAAAGGAAGAAGGAGCTAAAAAGAGGTATAAAAAGGAGGGTAGGGGTAAGAGGGGAAGTAAAAGTAGCGATAGCTTCCTATAAAGGTAGCGAAAGATAAGATAGATATACTAGTAACGGCTAGAAAAGAGGGGAAAAACTAGTAAAAAGCTCGGTGGTCGAAAGGATATTAGTAGCTTCTTTAAGTAGGATCTTCTTTATTAATTAAGATGCTAGATAGGTATAAAGAGGGGCGTTAGATAAAGGAAAGAAGGAGAATTAAGGTAATATAATAATTATTCCCCTGCCGTAATTACTGCCCCTATAAGAATTAAATCTTTCTACCTTACCTATCTAAACCCTTACTTTTAATTTTACTTTTAATTTTACCTTTATATATTTTTATATACTTCTTATATCTCTCTTCGCGAGAGTTATAAGCCTAGGAGGAATAGTATTCCTATACCTTCTAGCTACTATAAAAGGCACCTTTCTTATATCCCTTATAGCTTTCTTTTACCCCTCTTACTAGAAAAGCCGATTTTTAACCGACTTTTCTACCCCTTCTCTCTCCGCAACGATATTAAAAAACGACTCCTCTACCGTCCCTATAGTCTATAGGACGATTCTCGTAAAGCCCTAAGATTAAGATAAGTAGGTAAAGGAGCTATAAGCTCGTATAGATAGAACTATCTATAATTTAGTCTTCTCTAATAAGTAGGACCCTCTTAAGCCCCCTCTTTATCCTAGGGCAACGGACTTTATAGAGGGAGCTACCCTCTTCTCTAAGCTAATCTCTATATAGTAAAGAGCTTTTTCTACTACCTTAGGCGACTACGAGAGTTATCGAAAGGAATACCTCTATAAGACGAAGCTACTAACTATTACTTATACGGCAATAACGGAATCCGTTAGTGCCGTAAAGCTAATCTCTCTTTAAGAGGAAGAGACTCTTAAGCAGTAGCTTTTAAAGCTCGAAACCTTAATAGCTCCCTCGAGGGACTATATAACTAACCGTATTAAGAAGACCTATATAGCCTACCTAGGAGCTTTTTCTACTAGGAACCTACTAGCTTCTTTATAGCTAGCTAAGTAAGAAGAAATCCTCGAGGAAGCTAACTAATACTTCCTTATAAAAGCTCTTTCCGGCTAGTAGCTATAGGATATATCTCTACTAATAAAGCCTATTAATAACGGTTACTTAACTATCTTTTAAGAGGCTAGCTAAGAACTAAACGAAGAGGCTACTAGAGTATAATAGTAAGAAGTCTTATTCCTTTATAGCTAGCACTCGACCTAGACGGCTCGACCTACTACCCTTATAGCTACTATAGCCCTTATTACTACGGCCCCTACTATTACTACTGCTACTACGGCTATTGCTCCTTTAGCTCCTCCTCCCTTAAGAGTATTAATACTATCTTTAACGGCTATACTAGGCCCGGCCTTAGCTCCGCCTCTTACTCTAGGCCCGGCCCCGTTCCTATTAATTAGACTAGCCCGACTAGTCCCTTAATAGACCTTTTAGTCTATTAATAGAAAAATTAAGGAACTAGTCGAAATCGAACCTTATTAATATTAGTAATAAGGAGCAAAAAGGGGGGGTTTTTAAGTAGACCTTCTAAACTAAAACAAGGATTCCTTAAAGAAACAACGTATAAGGAGGAATCGACCTACCTAGTAAGTATATAAAAAGCCCTATCGGCTAATAGACTACTAGTAGGTCCTCGAGGAAAACCGACTTAAAGGAGTTAACCCTTTAAAGAGGCTATAAGAAATAGTATAATAGTCTATTAAGGAGGACCCCTTATTATAGAAGAAGATAGACGAGATTTAGGTAGCTAAGAAATAGTAACTAATAACGCCGCTACCTTTATTTAAGCTATAAATTTAAGGAAAAACCGTTAGTATAGTAAATCCAGCCTTTATCTTTCCTATAGATTAATAAGGCTAAGACTAACCGTTAGAGCCCTCTAATTATCCCCTACGAAAATTAGCTATCCTTAACTCTAGTACTTCCCTCGATATCTATAATATACTCTTATAATTCCGGTCCTTTAAGAAGGCATAAAGGGAATATCTTACTACCGGGGAATTAACTATATAGATAGAGGGATATAGAAGGGTGAATTTTACGATGAAATTACCTAATAGGTCTATATAAATTCTTCGATAAAAAAGGGTAGCTTTTTACCCTCGATTTTTAATAAGCTTAATTTCCTTCTACCTTCTTTAATAGGAAGGAATCTTTTAGGATATAACGTCTAAGCCTATAAGGCTAGTCTAGAAGAATTAAACTATTAGGCTTAT